CACCCTAAAATCAAAGGAAAAAGAACATATCTTCCCGCAGCACTTTGGTCTCTGTCCAAGACAGAGAAGAAGATTTTCTGTAAGCGGCTATTTGACTTCAAAGGCCCAGATGGGTACTGGTTCAAACATATCAAGAGGCGTCTCATTAGATGACTGTAAGGTCACAGGTCTGAAATCACACGATTATCACGTGTTAATGCAACAGCTTCTTCCGATTGCACTTAGAGGGTTGTTACCTAAAGGTCCTAGGGTAGCAATTGTGCGCTTATGCACATTTTTCAATCACTTGTGTCAGCGAGTAATTGATATGGAGCAGCTTTTGGCAATGGAAGCTGAGATTGTTGAAACCCTTTGCTTGTTTGAAAGATTCTTCCCGCCAAGTTTCTTTGATATCATGGTGCACTTGACAGTACATTTAGGCAGAGAAGCTCGGTTAGGTGGACCAGTTCATTTCAGATGGATGTACCCGTTTGAAAGGTATATGAAAGTTCTGAAGGATTTTGTGAGGAACACTGCAAGACCTGAAGGGTGTATTGCTGAGTGTTATCTAGCTGAAGAATGCATCCAGTTTTGTAGTGAATTTTTGAAGAAGACAACCAATGTTAAGGAAAGTGTAGATAGAAACACTGAGTATGAAAACAACACTATACTTGAGGGGCGTCCAATCTCTGCAGGCATCTCACTTAATCTTACTGAAATGGAGAAAAAAATAGCTCACATGGCTGTCATCCAGAATATGGCTGTCGTGGAGCCTTATGTAGAGTAAGTTCCACATTTTGCTAGTTCATTCATTAATTATATTTAGGATAAATGTCTGATTATTTCTTTTTCACTTTTTCTTTTAACAGTGAGCACCTACAGCATCTACAAGACTCCAATGGAAGATGCAGACGTGATGCATCACTGTTATGGAGTATGCACACTCAGAATTTTGCCTCTTGGCTTAAAGAACAGGCTAGTTATCTCTTACATAAACACCTAATGTAATTCAGTTTATGTATATAGGTGTCTGACCTTTTCTATTTACTTTTGTTAGATACATCTTGATTCAAACAGACATGGAGAAACACTGAAATGGTTGGCATATGGTCCACGTAGCTGCGCTAGGT